CATTTTTTATCTGCTTTTGGGCAAAAGTAGGTGAAATTTCAATTTCGGACAAAAACACAAAATCAAAAAAGAAACCACTCAAAACTATTTTTATCTTTGAAATAGCGCATTCAAAATTATCTTAAGTGTTTACAAAACATACCAAGAAAATAAAAAACTGGGGTCGCCATGCTTTTTACGGAGTTATAATTTTTTGAATATCAGATTTCAAGCTTTTTTCCAGCGATGGTTACAAATTTCCTCCACCCCTCCCCTGAGAGACGTGGTTGAGCATTGCATTATGGGATGGTAAACATGGCGGACTACTACAAGAACTACTGGATCAAAAATACGGTCACTAAATGTGCTAGAGAATGCAATAAGAAAACCTCGTAGGGATAACTGAAAATTGAACAAAGCCCCAAGATTTTCATAGAAGAAACTAATTGGTTTATAGTAGGTGAAATTTCAGTTTAAAACTGCGTATTCGCATTGAATGTAAAACAAACTACCAAGAGTCCAAACTTTTTTTCGTCGATCAATTCATGAAGTTTAAGTGCCTCTTTACATTCACTTCACCCACTTTTTAACTGCTCCATCAGGCAATCTAACTCAATAATTCGCTCTCCTTCAATAATATTTTGTGTTTGTTTTCAAGTTTTTCTCTCTTGATCTTTTTCGTCTAGTTTTTGTCGCTTCACCGGTACTCTATTCTGACAAATCTACCATCTAGTCGTCGTTTTCTCCTTTTCACAACTTTGACTTTTATTTTTACAGTACTATTTAACTATCCCATATAGACACACATGAAGAGATTGCTATTGAAAAAAAAATGATGACAACAATGATCACGCATTTATTTCGTTTTGTTGTTGTTGATATTTTTGAAAACATTGGAGTTCCTGTGGATTACGTAATGTGCGCAGTAAAAGTGCGCGCTGACAACTGTACCCACCATCCTTAAATATGGTCAAGGATACCCTTAATTAAATATGGTGATTTGAAAAAAGGATACCCTTAAATATGGTCATTTGAAGAAAGKATACCCTTGAATATAGTCAAGGATACTCTTAAATATGGTCAAGGATACCCTTAAAGAGGGTCATTTAAAAAAGGATACCCTTAGATATGGTCAAGGATACCCTTAAATATGAACAAGGATACTCTTAAATATGGTCATTTGAAGAAAGGATACCCCTTGAATATAGTCAAGGATACTCTTAAATATGGTCAAGGATACTCTTAAATATGGTCACTTGAAAAAGGATACCCTGAAATATGGTCAAGGATACCCTTAAATATGGTCATGGATACCCTTAAATAGGGTCAAGGATATACCCCTAAATAGGGTCATTTGAAGAAAGGATACCCTTAAATATGGTCAAGGATACCCTTAAATAGGGTCAAGGATATACCCCTAAATAGGGTCATTTGAAGAAAGGATTCCCCTTAAACATGGTCAAGGATACTCTTAAATATGGTCATTTGAAAAAAGGATACCCTTAAATAAAGGTCTAAATAGCGATTTATTTCTGAATTCAACTTACAATTGGTTCTGAATGAAGCTGTTCTCTCTCTAAGTCACCTTGCTCAAAGAATTCACCTGCCACCAGTTCTGCGGTCTAGAAAAACAAGTAAAAGACAAAAGTTCTTCGTAAGCGCGAAACAAACAAACAAACAAAGATTTAAAAAAAACAACTGGAATATGCCTGTGTAAGTAATAATCCTAGTTTCGTTGGACAACTGCAGCTAATATTTGTATTTATTGGAAAAGAAAAATACCCAAAGGAGAGGGGTATTAACTGATCTGTAGTTTTACTGAACTGCTACGTACCGACTGTTGTATATTCCATGGTTTCGTTATAGCAGCTACGTCACAAACTGTCATCATCATTGCCCGCAGTAGTTCTTTATTAGGATCTTTGCACCAGTCCACCTCGTGCTCAATAATAGCTTTCTCAAACGCGCCACGTTTTCTGTGGAACGCATGCAACACAAAAGTCAAGCGCATAAGAAAACTATTAACTAGTACTGTACGAAGTCGCGAAAGCATGTTTTCCAGTACATACGTTAATTACTCTAAATATCTTGGCCGCGAAACGAAGCAGTACTGGGTATTAATTTATAGAAGTAATGATCATAGCGTTAGTTTTGTAAAGGGTTGGTACGTATGGTGAAAACTCAACTTGATATATTTCATCCTCGGGAACCCAGGGGTAAAGTTCGGTCGCTCGTTTCTCACTAGGTGGATAAATATATACACTTATTTCAATAAAGTTAGTTACCAAAAAACCTAGAAAGCTGAAATCACTGAGGATCATGGGAAACTTTTAATATCAAACAAGTAAAGCTTTTGATACAATTTGCAGCTTGAGGATACTCAGAAGAGTAGAGACTGTAACTGGTAAAAGATCTAAAATCCATCAACAGTTATCAAAGCAGTTGAAACATGTAAAATGTAACTACCCATAACCCTTGTTGGTCTCAGCTTTGCAGCTTTTCAGGCGACTAACTTTATTGAAACTAGATGCATATCTGCGTGAACTCGGGCTTCATAGCAGAAAATTGAAAGAATTCTTCGTGAACATTGTCACCCTTTTTAGATGGTGCAAAGTCTGTACAAAATCAAGCGTGCTAAAAATGTTGAGGATGTTAGACTCCATATTATCCATTACTTGAAACAGCGACGAGTCCTTCCCCATATCCGTCCGCCATTACTCAAGCATGTGCTCATGGCTGATTCTACGCATGCGCATAGACTTTGATTTGACGCATGCGCCTTAGGGCTTCGAGGTCGATTTGTGACTGAAGAGGTGAAGAGGTTGAGGCCCAACGAAAGCCCAATTTATACCTCGGGCATTTCTTCAAAAGCCCGAGTAATAAGTGTATAACTAACTATGAAATATGCATACTGGAAATAGAGCGCCAAATCCGTTGAGATAATAGCATGTTCCAATATTTTGATCGCTTGTCGATAGTCTTCAGAGCTGAGCTCGGCAAAGATATTGTTACCCTGACAATGAAGGAAAAATAAGCGTTTAACAGATCATAGAGATAGATAGACCAGTTAAGCATTGGCATTAATTCTCTTATATTTTTATTAAATAATGCGATAAGGGGTGATATTCTATTTTTACATATATGTACTGTTCAGTTATTGCGCTCTAACAAAAACAGGATGCCCAAGGGAATGACCAGTATATATATATCCTTGAGATAAAAACAAGTATAAAACAAATAATGTTAATAAATAAAACTAATGGCATACAATTTATATATTTTATCACTCAGTTACCTCGCTGTTCAGGATCATGATGCTATGGTCAAAATGGTGATGTTCCATTGTCGATGTGCTATACAGCTGCGCAATTGCCGATTCAGATCTAATATGGATACCAACATAAAAGGTAAACACTTTTTTTCGTGTTTGAAATCTTATGCGACTGATGGTCACTGTTATATACAAGTTGTTGTAGTGCCTCGATGTATGTGCGGATCGCTGGGAATTTAGTTTTGTATCGTCGACTGAGGAAAAATAAGTCTCCATGGTTATTAGTACATCAATTGCTTTAATTCACAATTCAGGACGCAACTAAACATAATACACACTTAGTGTTAACCAATCCTCTCAATCACAACGTAATTAAACAACATCAAAGCTGTTTTTTGTAAGAGCCCTCCTGAATGTCTTGCAGATCTTAAAACTAGCAGATGAGTATAACGTAGGAAAAATATATCTTCAAATTAAGAATAAATCATGAGATAAGGTTAATTCAGGCAATAAAATCGTGCATCTTGGCGCGTAGCATTTTATACTGCAACTGGCGCAGTATTGTTAGTTCTGCTTGCACTGCGCCAAAAGAGGCGCGTCCTACTGATCATACTTACAACGGAACATCATTGTGTAAAGACGACTAAAATGATTTAAATTTGTACCTCGATGGAAGTTTACGTTATGTTATTATTTGAGACACTCACTTTGATTGAAAGGCGTTGTTGGTTCCTCGGTGATCAAGATCATGACATAAACAAGCAACAATCAGACAGAAACACTCGAGTTCTGAGAAGTACTTCTTGAGTGAACCGGTCTGAGGAAGCGATAACAACATTATAACTGAATATGGATGTTCGACAACAAAAATATTGTCAAGCGTAACAATTAATAAGAAATAATGCGCATGTCAAAAAAGAGTACAATATTTTTCACACATATAAGGTACGCGGTAGAAGGAGAAAAGGACAGATAAGTGAAGAGCTGACTCGGATATAAACATACTCAAACATCTAGGCAGTCGCGCAGACTGACATAAGTATAGACAGAAAAAGGGCGCTTGCTAAGTAAGAAATAAAATCCTCACCGTTAAAATAGTAAACATGCTTTGTGCGACGTTGAAGGCGTGTCTCCAGTTGTGATAGGTGACGGGACGATAGTTCTTCTTGACGCTAAGTAACCATCGATACATCGTCTAAAAACAATTTGGTCCACGTAAATTTCTCAATAAATTGCTCAGAAAGATGTACAAAAAGGTGTGTAACACTTGAGCTATAACGATGTGGTGCTATAAACGAATGTCGGTTCTAATAAATAAGGCCTAGGGCAAACGTCAAACTTTCCATGCACCGAATTGAATTACATCAAAGAAATGCCGCCTCAGTACCACCTGATAACCATTGTTTTTAATGAGTTCGGTGCATGGCAAGTTCGACGTTTGCCCTAGGCCTAACTACATCGCAATTGCTGTTGCCTTTCCTTTTAATAGGGGCGATGTATAACACCAGAAAAGTTCGAAATTCATTCAAACATTTTATGAAACTACGTTTAGTCTTGTTATAATTGGGGAACAAGTTTTCCTTCACCATGCCACGGGACGAACACACACACACACAAAAAAAAAACAAAGAGTTTTTAAAACTTTTAAGTAGAATGACAAAGGAAAACAACTGTGCCCGAGATATTGATACTACGCTTTTAAGGCAGAGGAACCATGATTTGTGGCCTTTGGACCGAATTTAGTTTAATTATTCCACTTTACTTTTTATTTCGTCTTGCAATTTTTTGTAGCAACTGTTTTCTAAGAATACCAAACCGTGGTCAAAGATAGAAAATAACATCCAGTCTCACTATTTCTAGGCTACCAGACAGGAATAAAAGATAATATCATGTAATTGTCATGTAAACATGTACAGGTTCTCATTGAAACAACCAGAATTCTCCTCAATTACGCAGTATAGCCGTTTTCTATTCTATGGCTAGTTTGCTATCTTACATTTTAGCATACGAATATGCACTGACCTCATCGCTCACGTGAAATAACTCTTTGTAACCCAGTTCGGAAAACATAACGAACGATGCCAACAGCRTCTCGTCATCTGACAGCAGAGTGTCGTCAAACTCGAAAGTGTAGACCTCGTACTCTTTTGCAGATTTTAGTTTCATGTTCTAATGAAATGAAAAATAGGAATCGTTAAATAAAGAAAATAACAATTGTTAAGAAAAGGTTGTCTTCGCTTTTTTGTTTCGTTTCGTTTCGTTTCGTTTGCGTGTCTTCGTATTTTCCTCTGTCAGAAAATGTCAGAATTGCGCAATAGTACCCAGGGGTCTTCACGACACTACCCAAGAGTCTGTTATTTCAAAAATCGGG